AGAGCGGGGTTGACAGGAGCAGGTGGCCACCAGCATAGACTGGTGGGGTAGGCTACGTTCTGGAGTCCCCCTCAAGCCGGACTAGCATAGGGGGACCAGAAAGAATGGCTTGAGCAGGTTACTTAGGGGATGGCAGTAGCCTCTACCAGACTGCAGAGGGTGGCAGAGAGGCTGAGACTGGCCAGGGGGTCAGGAGATAGACTCCCACTCCTGCCACCGTCGCGTCACTGAGTGACCCTGGCCACCACCTCCCCAACACACACACACACACCTGAGTGCCAAGAACATTTGGGGTGTGGGATGGTTCTTTCATTGGCCGAAGCCCTCTTTTCCCAGTTCTGAGTGTGAGGCCTGGTGGCCTGTCCTGAGGCCCAGGGTGGGAGACGTTAGCCCATGGCTAGGTTCACCATCTTCTCTCCTGTCGCTTCCTCCTGATCTCCATGTCGTCACCTTCCCTCTTCTTGCAGTGACTGCACTTCTCTTCAAGATGGAAGAAGCCAACCTGGCGAGCCGGGCAAAGGCCCAGGAGCTGATCCAGGCCACCAACCAGGTGGGCCTCCCTGGAGAAGAGTCCCCGCAGCCCCGTCTTTGGTCCGTTGCCCCAGTTAGGAGAGGAGCTGCACTCCAGCAGGCCTCGGGGCAGGGCACCAGCCAGAGGAGGACCTGCTGCCCCGGGAGTGCTGGGAAGTCGGGCTGGGAACAGAGGGCTGCACGTGTCCTCTTCCCCTCCTCCTCCCTCTGCTCATCCCCCTCACCTTCTTCCCACAGATCCTCAGCCACAGGAAGCCACCCTCAAGTTTGGGGGTGACCCCAGCTCCTATGCCCACCTCTCTGGGTCTGCCCCCCGGCCCCTCCAGCTACCTGCTTCCTGGCAGCCTCCCCCTGGGGGGCTGCGGCTCTACCCCTCCCACCCCCACCGGGCTCGCTGCCACATCTGACAAGAGAGAAGGCAGCAGCAGCTCCGAGGGACGTGGGGACACAGACAAGGTGAGCTAGCCTTGGGAGAAGCTGGTTGATGGGGACAGTTTTTCAGAGAACATGAACAGATGCTGAGACGCAAGGGCCCAAGAATGGCAGAGACTGAGGCAGGCAGATGGGAACTTAGAGACAAACGTGATTAAATTGCAAGGAACCGAACTTCCACTAGCATGGATGGATGGGGAAGGGGTGCTGGGCAGGTTTAAAGGAAAACCAGGCCAGGCGCGATGGCTCACGCCTGTAATCCCAGCACTTTGGGAGTCCGAGGCAGGAGGATCACTTGAGGCCAGGAGTTTACGGCTATAGTGAGCTAGAATCTCGCCGGTGAATAGCCGCTGCACTCCAGCCTGGGCAACATAGTGAGACCCTGTCTCTTAAAAAAAAAAAAAAAGGAAAATCATGCTCGTGCGCATACGTGCGCCCCGCCCCACTACTCTCTGCCCCTTGACTACTCATTGCTTTCTCCTTCTCTCTTTGTGTAAGTGGGGGCAGGTTTTCAAAAGAAAAGTCGAGAAGCACTTCCTAGACGAAGAGAGGAAGAGTGGATGCCGGCAGATACACACACGGTTGTTTATTAAACTGATCTGTCCGGCTCCTACTCCTGGGCCTTGGGGGCTGTTTTCCTCTTGGTCAAGTCTAGATGCGTTTTGTTACGGGCCAACAGCCACAGCCAGCCAGTGGTGTTGCCCGCCCGAACGTGCCTCGGGGGTGACGCCAGAGGGAAAGCCGGGTAACCCCATGAAAATCCCTGTGTAAGCCATGAAGGTGGGGCCACAGCTTAGCCCGTCACTTGTCCGTGGCACCTACCATGTGCTGTAAGACCAGGACGGTGAGGACCCTTCGACCAGCAGTGGGCCCCTTGCTTTGCCGGTCAGGCTGCCCTGGTCTGTTTTCTGTCCTTTGTCCTCTGTTGCCACATCTGGGATGGGTACTAAGGAGCAGCCCTTTCTTTTGCCGCCTTTCTTTAGAAATCTCCTTCCCCTTGTGCCAGGCAAGCCTGAGGGGTTCCTCCAGGGGGGCCTGTGGCTCTCCTGGCAGTAGAGTCGTGCTGACAGCTCAGTGGCTCATCAGTGTACTTTCTCATCCTGGCGGCTGTGATGTTGCTCCTGGAGGCCGTCACCTGTGTGCCCTGGTCTTCCTAGGACTCAGTTTACCTGCTGCCATCTTTTCTTGGCCCTGGGACATAGGGAACAGTTGCCTGGAACTCCCCAAGGGTGGTGCCCAGAGTGACTGTCCCTTGTGCCTGCAGAGGGCCTGTTCTCTGGTCCCAGCTGGCTCTCCTGCTAGAGATTTCCTGCCTGTCTGCTTTTGCCTCTGAGGTGGGGCTGCAGCCGCCCAGCCCTGCAGGCTGTGGGGTCTCCCAGCTTCCTGGCCACAGCCTTTCCTAGGAGGCTTTCTGTCCTGCTCCCTGGGCTGTCTCCTTTTTGTCCCCATAGCCATCAGTCTCAGAACAGTGACAGCTCCTCTAGACTGAGTCCTTGCTCTGTGCCCAGGCCGAGCTGTGTCCTCCATGTGGGTTGCTTTAGTCCTCCCCACAGGTACTGTCCCCATTTTACAAATGAGCCCATGAAGAGGTTCGGCTGCTCATCCAAGGTGTCACAGCCGTGGAGTGGCAGGCCAGGATTCCAACGCACGTGTGTCCTAGAGCTCAGCTTCCACTCAGCAGCCAGAGCAGCGTTTAAAAACCTAAACTGGGTCTACCACTCACCACCGCAGAGCCTGGGGAGATTTTCCTGCTGCAGTCAAAATAAGCCTGTAGCGTCTGACCAAAAGCAGTCCGAATCGCCTGGCTAATTTCTGTCTTCCCACCAGACCGTGAACTTTGCGAGGGCAGGGCACACATGTCCTGGTCATGGCCAGTCCAGCCTAGAGGAGATGCTCACTGACATTCAGAGGCCCAAGCCTGGCCTGTGGTCCCAGGTGACTGTGGCAAGGGAGTACAGGGCAGACCCTAAGCAGGACTTCCACCTGCTGGAGCAGGCGGATGGCCAAAGAGGCTACGTTGACAGGCACAGGTGGGTAAGCGGAGGCAAGAGGTTCCATAGGCACTCATCTGGCCCTTGCTGTCCCTTCTTCCCCCCCGTCACAACCCCACCAGTATCTGAAGAAGCTGCACACGCAGGAGCGGGCGGTGGAGGAGGTGAAGCTGGCCATCAAGCCGTACTACCAGAAAAAGGACATCACCAAGGAGGAGTACAAGGACATCCTGAGGAAGGCCGTCCACAAGGTGGGCACAGAGCGGGCAGAGACGGGGGCAGATACAGAGGTGGGCAGACAGATGTTCGCAGATGGTGGAGACAGGGACGCAGGGTCAGTCTGGGAGGCGAGGAGGGTGACAGGATTTCTTCAGGGCTACCTGGATGTCTTCTGCTGGCCTGTCATTAAGGGGCACAGGTGGAGGTTGGCCTGGGTGTTGGGGGAGTGGCTTGTATCCCAGTCCCAGGCTGTGCTCAGCAGTCTGGGGGGGAGCCCAGGAGGCTGGCAGTAACTCCAGCTGCCCGCTGCCCCCAGATCTGCCACAGCAAAAGCGGGGAGATCAACCCGGTGAAGGTGAGCAACCTGGTGCGGGCCTACGTCCAGCGCTACCGCTACTTCCGCAAGCACGGCCGCAAGCCGGGAGACCCTCCGGGGCCCCCGCGGCCGCCCAAGGAGCCGGGGCCCCCTGACAAGGGTGGCCCCGGCCTGCCCCTGCCCCCTCTCTGAGAGCCCTGGCCACCCCTTCCCCCGTCACCTCTTTGAAATTCTGGACATATTTATGGCTCCACCTCCCCACTTCCCTCCCCCGTCAGTGGGATGACCGGGGGAGAGTTGCTGCGGGGAAGAGGAGAGCCCCCTGCCCCGCCCAGCCCCGTGCCATCTCCCCTGCCCCCGAGCCTGGCCCCATCGGCCCTCCCTTCTGTTCGTGCCCCTCCGCCCAATTTCATTAAAGATTTCATGAAATGTTACCCCCAAGCCCCAGGATTTTCGCCCTTTCTTTCAGAAGCAAGTCTGGGGAAGGGCTGGGGAAGGACACCCAGGAGGCCTGGCCGATACCTGAGGGTGGGAAGCAGGGGACCAGACTGTGACTTGGGGTGACGGCATTGCCCTCTCTGGGCCTCGGTTTCCTTATCTGAAAAGTGGGTGTTGTGAGGATTAAACAAGACACAGGCAGGTGGAGCACCTGGAGCAATACCTGGTGTTGCTGACGGATAAAGTGGATAAAGTGGTGGTGACAGGGATGTCAGGGTCCCAGGTCCCACCTGCTCAGTGTGTTCCAAGCTCAGGGCACCTGGCTGCTATTTGACTACCTTAGAATTGCTCCCAGAAGCAGGTCTTTGTCCCCATTGAGCTGGATTCAATTTTCAGCAGCCCTCTGAGGCTGGGGTGATCCAATCCGCTTTCCTGAGAGGGAAACTGAGGCACAAAGCAGCAAGGGCTGCAGAGTGAGTCAGTCCCATCACTCAGAACTGAGGCCCATGATGAAAAAAAACAAAGAAAAATATTCAAACAAAAAAACAAAAAATAAAAAAAAAAGAACTGAAGCCCAGTAAGAGGTGGCAGTGCCCAGGGTTACTGGGGCAGGCAGGTTTCCTGGGCTCTAGAGGTGGGCCCCTACAGAGGGGACAGGGGGAGCCCAAGGCCTGGGCAGGAGAAGGGACATTCACCCACACTGTTTATAGGCAAGGCAGGGGCTCTGGATTCAGCCTCGGGGCTGCACTCAGAGTGACAGTGCTGGAGCCAGACCCAGATTCTGACAGGTCTCCAGGTTTCCCACTTTGTGACCTTTGTACTTCAGTGTCTTGGTCTGTAAAATGGGGGTGACTGTTACCTCCTCACCAGGTCCCTGGGAAGAGTAAGGAACACCCCCCTGCCCCCAGCATCTGGTCCTCTTGCATTGGCCACCTGAGTTGTGGGTAGCTGCACAGATGGGTAAACTGATACCCCTCAAGCAGGAGTAACAACCAGCTTAGGCCAGCTTAGGTCAGGCTTGGCCCAGGGACACCCAATACCAGACACATACAAGTGGTGATCACAGTAGGAACCAGTTTATTGGTCAAGGATGAGTGTTAGGGGCCTGCACCCGTGAGGATCAAGGGCTCAGGCTGCCCCAGGGATCTAGAAATCCATGTCCTCGACCAGGTCCTGTAGGTAGGCCTTGCACTGGTCGGAGGTGAGGGAGAGTGGGTGGCTGTTGGAAATGTGCAGGTCCACAGTGTTCTCCAGTGAGGAGGCGCCCCCTGACCGGGCCATGTCTAACAGAGCCCTGAGGCACGTGGGAACCACCTGCAGGGGGAGGGGAACACAAGTCAGGGAAAACACCCAAGGACTGTCCACCATGGAGGGGAGGGGGAGGGGCTGAGAAGACTACAACTTCCAGCAACCCCTGCTGTAACCCAGGGTGGGCCAAGGGCTGCTGGGAGTTGTAGTTTTCCCTCTATTCTCAAAGGCAGGAGGCCAGAGAGAGTTCCTAGGACCAAGGGTGCAGGAAGGGTTCCTAGAAGTTAGGGCTGAGCAGCTTGTGATCTGGACTCCTAGAGCCATCTTTCCTCACAGAGGCAGCTAGGACTTGTAGTCCACCAACTTCCACGTGGTTTAGACAGTTCAAAACAGGCTTTGGGGGTGGGGCCATGGGAAGGACACCCAGAAGCTCCTGGGGATAAGGAACTGGTAATTGCAGAGACACTTTAGGGGCTTCTGGGAGTTGTAGTTTCTGGAAGCAAACTCTTCTCTTTGTAAGACCACCTGTCAGCCCCAGGGACCCAGGGCCACAGGCACCTTAACCATCACGAGCTTCTTGGTCCATGGCTGGTCCTGGGGCCATGGCTCTCCGATGCAGAACCAGAGGGTGTAGCGTGGTGAGCATCTGCCTCCTTCGATGAAGGTAATCAGATCTGGGGGCCCAGGAGCTTAGTCAGAGATAGGAAAGAGACCCTCTATCCATCCCTGACCCCAAACCTGAGTAATAGCCCTGCCATCTCCCCTTACCTAAGGCCTCTGCCACAGCGACCAGGGGGCTGCCTATTTGGGGACTGTCCCTGTGGTTCTGTTTGTGTTCCTCCTCCCTCCAGAGTGGGGCTGGAAGATTGCCCCCACCCCTACCCCAGAGCCTCGGCCCTCAGCATGGGACAGGCCCAGGGGAGGGGAGTCCCCCCTTGGGATGCTCAGTGGCTCTGGAAGAGAAGGTGGCTGCTGTTCACTGCTCTTCAGCCCTCTCAGGCTGTGCTGTCCAATACGTAGCCTTTAGCCACACGTGGATATTTCAATTTAAATTGTAAGTCAAATGAATAAAATGAAAAACTCACCTTCTTGGTTGCCCTCACCTGAGTACTCAACACCCACGTGTGGCTAGTGGCTTCCGTATGGGACAATGCAAATACAAATCATTTCCATCACTGCAAAGTTCTATCGGACGGTGGAACCCTAAGAGACTGGTCTTTCTTGCTAGTTTGTCCCCCATAATTAACCACAATGACGGTGATGGTGGCAGCTGATTCCCTGAGCACCTTGTCTGTACTGGGCCCTGTGCCTCACACCAGCTCTGGCAGGCAGTAGAGAGAGGAGACTGTGCTTAGACTCGACAGGTCCGAAGCGGGCAAGTCCCTTGTCCCAGGTTATACAGCAAGCAGAGCACAGGTCTGAATTCAATCCCAAACCGCCGGAGCCCGGAGTTCTTAACCCCCGTGCCCTGCTGCTTTCCACTCAGCAGAACTAAGCCCCTGCCTCACTCACCTGCCACGAAGGGCCCCAGGTCGAACACGCCTCCTTCCTTGTCCTTCGGGACCTCACCATCAGGCCCATGCCCGCTGCTGGGGAGCAGCTCCTCGCCCACGGCCCAGTACGTGTGGCAGTGCCCCAGTCGCTGGGCCCAGAGCCGCTGCCCGGCCCGCCGTAGAGCCAGGCCC